GAATAGGACTTCTTTACAGGATATAAACATATTTAGTCCAACTGCAATCAACCTGAAAGAAGTTATTTGGTGTTCTCAGTCAGAGCAATGTTTTAGCTGGAAGTGCAGAGTAATTGGGATAAAACCGATCTTATCATTGTATGGACCTTAGCTGTGGTCAACTGTTAGCTGTTACCCTGGACTGAAAGTGAAAGAAAACAATTGATAACAAAGTCCTTCACACCTTCTTAGGAAAATGAAATGATTTCTTTTTAACTGTGTTGGCTTAAGGGTTCATTATCACCTTTTTTTGTTCTCCATCTAATGGTTGTTTTCTCAAACTTTGATTAAGAGTAACTGGAGGAATGATGGGAAGGAAACTGCCTCTGCAGAAAGGCCACTTCCTCATTAGTAGCCTGAGAAAGATTATAAAAGGTGTAATCAGTCACAGCAGTCTTCACTCTCCTCCTCCACCATTTCCTGTCTCCCTTTACATTGTCAGACTAACACTCTCTTTCACACACTCCTTTCAGAAACAATTTTCATAATGGGGAACTTTGTCGCCAACGAGGGACTTTCAGTCTTTGTTATTGTGAGTATATTTAATGATTTTCTCCTTTTGGCTTCTGGTTCGGATTTCTCTAGTGTGATTTAGTTTCTTTGGGTTGTTATGAAATCTACCCACAATGACGTATGTTCGTTTTTTGTTGCTTTGTTTGGGGTTTTTTCATTCAAGCTGCATTGTCACCAGTGTCTCATTAATGTGTCATAAAATAGTTAAGGCATATAAATCACTGACTAAAAATGGAAAAACAAGCTTTTTCTTCAGAAAATTATGATTTTTCTTCTTATTGATTGAATAGAAATGAAATAGGCTTTGGTTGAAACAGTTAAACATTTTTCCAAATATTTAGTTTTAATTGGTTAAGCTAAAAAAAAAAAATGCCTGCTGCAGATCGTGGTAATAGATCTGAATTCTTTTCTGTGTCAAGGATAGAGTCATGAAACTGAATGAAGTATTCTTTAGCATCCATTCTAAATTTGAGTTGATGCCACACTTTTGAGCCACGTTTTTAGTTGCACTTCAATTACAGTCTGGCTTGTTTTCTGAACAAAGAAAAGTCATTTTCAGCAGGTAAAGAAAAATGTTCTCCAAGTTAAGCACTGAAAGTGTGTAGTTTTGTTTTGTTGTAGTGGGACTTAAACAAGTGCACTTAAGTGATATTTGCACTCCTGATGTGTTAATAAAGATTTGTAGATCTGTATTTGTAGCTAATTTAAACCTGAGTGTGTTTGGGTGCATTTTACAGATGGTGTGGCTGGGGATCAACGCCTTCCTGTTTGTCCATTTCTACATGGCCTTCCTGGTAGAGAGGTGGTATTACACCAGAGTCCTGCTCGGGGTGAGTCCGACCTGCAACTTCACTTCTGTTGCACAGACTTTCACTCCAAACTGAGTCAGTATTTGTAGATTTCTAGTTTTTTTTTCTTCAGAGAATTTCCAAGCTGTTACACACACAATAGCACCTATTTCAAAAGTTGTAGGCAAATATGAAAAAAAAAAAAAAAAAAAAAACAGGACTCTGCCTTTTTCATTTCCTCAAATTATAGCTACAGTAAAAGTTTAAAAGTTTCTAACATTACAACAAGAAAATTAAAGCAGACCCTGCAACCCCACCCACTACTCTTTTTAGTACACTGTAACTATGCAACAGAATAGAGAAGTGATACAGTGCAGAGCCACGGCAATAAGTTAAACAATCTTGCATTAAAAAGAAATACATTTTTGTAGTTCTATGTTCTAAATTATGAATATTTTATTTTGTTTTATGTGATATTTGGGTTTTTTATATGTTAAGATAAACTCGAGTCATGATACCTATCTATACACGCAAATGAATTAATAACGGTCTATTTTAGCTCCAAGAATTGAAATCGCACAAATGTAAAACAGGATTGGTCCACTTACCGTACTGTGAAAAACAAAGTAATAGTGCTACCATGTTCTTTTTAGAGAGAGGAGACTTTCTCCTGGCAACGCTTCCAAACAAATCTAAACAATGAAAGCAGTAAGGGTGTACTTGGGTTTTGCACTGGACTGCATACAATCCTGTGAAAATGTTCCCTTTCTCATGACTGAATATATCTGTAACGTATGACCATTTTCTAGGCAGTAACATGTATAATTATTATGTTATAACTTTAACCCAAATTAGCTGAACTGGTTAATACACTGAAACGAGGAAGGGAATTTCCCTTCCTGGGGTTGGTTAAAGTTTCTGTTGTGAAAATGCCAAAATTTCCTGTACGCAAGAACAAAACCCATCAGTTTGTTAACACTTCCACAAATAATTGGTCCACATGGAAGATATCAGAGCCTCATATCTCCTATTCAAAATAACCACTGTGAGAGCTAACAATTATTCCCTCTCACCTGTTTATGGATGGGACTGGCTTACGGTGATGATTAACTCCTCATTTCATTCACTTTTAAATTACAAAGTTGCTATCAGAAATTGCACATGAACTATTAATGCTGCAACTTAATTAGTTTGTTGTCTGGCAGCCAACAAGAACATTTTTACAGATTTGTAAAAGTGTGAGTGACGCACTAAATGTTTCTAATGTTTGAATGCTGGGAAGTTATTAATTGCCATTTGAAAAAGTTTTTACTGTGATAAGAAGAAAAATAATAATTATATTTTAAACTAAGTCCACAAAGAGTAAAGGTTAAATGCGGTTACTATAAAAAATGGCGTGATCAGATATAAAAATAGGGAAAACAGATTTAAGTAACTTAAACTATGTCATCTTTATACTTGTTTGTAGTCATTAATGTGCCTGTGAGATATAATTGGATCTTCATTGGACTTTGTAATAACGTTTTGTGTTTGAACAGTGCTATCAGCCTGCATCAAAGGCCATTTCTGTCGGACTTTGCAAATATTTCTGATTATATCTTGTGCAAATAAAACTTGACTTCCTGTAACAAAGTGCCAACACTTAGCAACAAATTTAGGATTCTTACACCTGATATACACATATACACCCATGTTAAACACTTCTTATCTACATAGGCATTATTCGACAAGCAAACGTGCACACAGAGAAGGGAAGTAAGTTACAGCTGGCTTCATGACACACTGACTTTGGACCAGCAGCTGCACATCTGGCTTCAGGCCAGCAGAAGTGAAACATTGCAGCTCGTACTTTCTGTTTTTCAAATTTTAATATGGAGAGATGAGGAACAGTATTCAGCGTGGCTGCATCCTGCTTCTTTAGAGAGACTGTATTCCCAAAAGTGTTGAGAAACCTGTAAGCTCCAAAAAGAACCTTAGGAAGGCTTAAAAAAATGAATCATTTACACTGAAGGAAGGGCTGAGATGATGATTTGGGGATGAGGGACTGGGTTTGAGGTTAACAATACCATGTTGAGATGAAGTTAATTATTGATGTAAAACAGAGTGGTGAGAGCACACGTGTATTCTCACCAACATTTACTGGCTCTGTAACTGCAGTACAATAACATTCTGATGGAAAAGATGAATAAATAAAGAAAGTGAGCCATCAGGGATTAGCTTCAGCTCATCAGGGCTCTTCTGGGGATTAGAGGATCTAGATAATATATGCATGCATGCATTGTGGTACCAATGACACGGTGTTAAATTAAAATGTGTGTCAATCTCTATGGAAGTCTATGACTGCCAGTATTAAATGACAGAAATGACTCTAATGGAATTTTTCGAGCCATTTCCAACTGCTGTAGGGTGTAAAGTCCTGGATTGGTTCACAGCCCATCAGACGTCCATAACCGTGCTCTAATTTGATTTATCTTGTTGTTTTGCCTGTTTTTAAATAAGAAAATAAAAAATATATATCCATTAGCCTTGTTTGCAATGATCTATTTAAGGTTTCAAGTGACACATTAAAAGGCTTTCAGACTTCCACAAACCTCACTAAATAACTGCTGCTTGACATTTCCATTTATTGTCCAGTTCTAGTTCTTCTTTTTGCTTAACACCTGTCAGCAGTTAAGTTTCAGGTTTATATAAAACTCTTTTCACCTCCTACTGCTGAGCTGTTATACGTGACTGGTGAGGGAAGGGAATTTGAAAACATTTTATTGTAACACACCGTTTTTTTATACTCTCCACAGCAAGCTTTGCCCTGGGCCAGAGCTCCTGCTGCCTGCCTGAACTTCAACTGCATGCTCATCTTGCTGCCAGTCTGCAGAAACCTCCTCTCCTTCCTCCGCGGCACCATACAGGTATTCATTAAGGATAAATAACAGATAAATGAAAATCTGGCTTACCACAAAACGACAGTATATAGCATGTAATGTGTCCCATTATGTGGAAAACACTTGATAGAATTAATGAGGGTATAGGACCAGATTCTTCTGCAAACATTTGCTTACCGGCCACTTTATTACTTTATTAGGTTGAAATGATTTCAGCTTGTGCAAAAGCACCTTATCCTACTAGAAGGAACCAATTCAATTCAATTTTATTTATATATCGCCAAACAACAACAGTCGCCTCAAAGCACTTTATATTATAAAGTAGACCCTACAATAATACATACAGAGAAAAAAACCCAACAATCAAATGACCCCCTATGAGCAAGCACCATTAGAAGTTAGATACACTGTGATCAGCAAAAATACTGTAGAGTACTGTAGAAGAGATGCTTTGCTGCAAACTTTGGTAGTACCAAGTGGTTATTTGAGTCATTGTTTCCTTCATTTCACCTCAAAGCATTACTGTCCTCTGACCTTTGGTGAACTGGTGAACTTAAATCACCTTGATTCCACATTCTGATACTCAGTTTGAACTTAGGTCATCTTGACCATTGATGCATGTTTAAATGTACTGGGTTTCTGCCATGTGATTGGCTGATTAGTAGATGTTGTTAACCACCAGTTGAACAGGTGTACCATATTTATTAATGCTGTAGTGGTGTATTTGCTTGTGCTTTAATAATCATCGCTCATTAATTTATTTTTGTGTGTTTCTCGTTTAAATTCAGTGCTGCAGCCGCACAGCAGCTCGCCAACTAGATCGAAACCTAACTTTTCACAAACTGGTGGCTTACATGATTGCCTTCCATACAGGTAATTTTTCTTTTTTCTTAAAATGTTAAAGGGGTTGGAGTAATCATTACCCCATAACTAACGATAGCAATGATTTAAAGCATATTAAAGTTTTAAGATAGATTTTTTTGACATAGCTTGAGGTTGATAAACACATGACTACAAAGTCACTGACGTGGGTTTTACAAGTGAGTCAGAATCTGACTAAACTGGTCAGTGGAATATACAGATGAGTTTGTGAGTTTGTATATCCCACTGAGTAATGATTAATAATAAAACTGCATCTAACTGTAACTTATGACCATTTAATGAGTAGTTATGCAGTAATGTCTGCCCAAACAGAACTGTATACATTTTGGAGAAAAGCACTGCATATTTATAATGATATTTTTCCTTTTTCTCTGTTTCTTGTAGCTGTGCACATTATTGCACATCTGTTTAACTTTGAGTTTTTTATGGACGCCCAGCTCAATCGCAACACCAGCCTTCTGACCTTTGTTCTGTCAGAAATTGGTAATGGGGACAACGCCTCCTTCCTCAACCCTATCAGAACAAATGAGACGGTGAGTTGTTGCCATTACCAGGCTGCCCTCATTTTTTCCTTTTTAGTACAAAAATAATGGTGAGATTAGTCATATGAGCTGTCTGAGTTTTCTTGTTTTGCAATGATGTCTTGAGATCTCTGCAACTTATTACTAAATTTTGTATTGAGTAGTATTACTTCATCTGGCAAACTTCCCTTTTTCTTAAAAAACCCTCAAGATCAATTGTGAAATTTCATCTTTAATGATACTGTTTCTCAAATACAATTGTTCATAAGCCAAAACAGAAACTTTTGACAATTGATATAAGCAAAAAAACAAAAAGAACATAAACCTCATTCTTTTAGACAAAGATTGGATGACCTTTCCTAAAATGACACAACATGCACATGAAAATATTTTAAAATTTGGTACCGCCCACAACGAAGGGCGTAATTCCCCCATGAAGGACCGTTCTTCCTTACCAACATACAAGAAAAAGTAAATACCATCAAAACTTGCAGGTCATAAGGACATAACTTTCAAAAGGAGTGTACAAGAAAGAAGTGTTTACTTTCCTGTAAATTACCTGGAAGGTAGGCAAGGTTAAGCAACTCCATAACAGCCCAAGCCTTACAATGTGTACTTACAATACAAAATGGGGGAAAAAAATGTTGTTTTGTTTTTCTGCAAAATTACCAATACATTTTAATTACTGCTTAAAAACGTCTTCTTACTGTAAAATAGCAAAATTGCCCAAACTCCCACAGAAAGACGAGCTAGAAGTAAAACAAAAGTGATCATATTTGGTGCACATGATGAAGAGTGGTCAAACAGAGGTCAGAGACATGGTGCCTTCACAGTGATCCAAGAATTGCAAAAGGGTAGCACGGTGGTTTGGCAGGCACTTTTGCTTCACAACAACCACGTTCCTGGTTCAAATCCTGACTTGGGCCTTTCTGTGTGGAGTAAACATGTTTGACTTCCTCAGATGTACATAAGATTTGGTGATTTTAATTTTGGTGATTTGGTGAATTTAATTTTTAATTCACCAACATTCCAGCTGACTCTTTAGAGACTTTTAGGCTTTCCATTTCATTTCATAAATTCCGCTTTCCAACATTTCTAACATTTGTTTCCTTCTTGTTACCTTGTGTTAAACAATCAACCTCTGTGATATAGGGAAGTATGACAAAACAGCCATTTAGTAAATGAGGGAAGTTAGTCAACAAACATGAGGTGTGTCATTACAACTGAAGCAACTGAAAAACTGAGGCGATGACTTGGGACTTCATCCCACTCTAGATTAATCATCTGTTTGGCCTTTTTAAAGAGACAATCTTCTCAAAATGTCATCTGTAAACTGCATTTACAGAATCCTACCATTGTCATGTTCACCACCGTCGCTGGGCTGACAGGTGTGGCCATCACGTTAGCACTCATCCTCATCATCACTTCATCTATGGAGGTCATCCGCAGGTCATACTTTGAGGTGTTCTGGTACACGCATCATCTCTTCATCATCTTCTTCATTGGACTGGTGTTTCACGGCTATGCGTAAGATAGCACAAAATTTCAACCATAAAAGGACTGCTAGCTCTGTTTTTTTTTCTTTTTTTTACATTAGTTGTCTTTTTCTGACCTGAAACACTTAGCCACATGTATTTCCTCTTAGAGTATTTTGCCCTCAGTGAGCTTATTACAAATGATTTACTTGGTTTCTGTCTTGACCAGACTGGATCTAGCCACAACTTTATGTTTCTATCGTTAATGTTAGTGCACTTGTTGGAGCCAGAAGTGATATATACCAAAGGTATATACTGCTATACCGTTGGGCAATGTAACATAGGAGTCTATGTGAACTGGCTCCCTTTTGACTCCCAGCCTCAAGTGAACTGCATAATTTTTCAGGACTAGCGGTTTGATTTGGACATTTGGGCTTGATCTTGGTCTTTAACTCATACACATGTTATAATGATCATAGTTTTAACTAATAGTCAATACTATTTGATTCTTGAACTGTCATTACTCTGACTTGGTCTTGAATCAGTCTCTAAACTGGTCAAATTTGTACTTACCTGTGATTGAGCTTTATAAATCATACGCTTAGTTTTAGGCATTTACAAATTTACTGTGTGAACAAAAATATTGGGCCATGCCGCTTAGTCTGTGAATTCAGCTCTTTCATACAGTCCCATGGCCACGGATTCAACCAACCACAAACTCAACCATGCAGTCTGTCTTTTCAAACGCTATTTCAGAAATGTTTGATTTTACAAATCTCACTGAAATTGCTGGGAGCTTCATGGCATTTCTTTCTTCTTTCCATTCTTTCCAATCTTTCCATAGTCATGCAGCTCCTGTAGGTGTAATGTGCAGCTGGCCCAGTACTTTTGTCTACATAGTTTATAATAATATAATTTCCATTAAATTAATTTAGTGAAACTAAATTCCCAGGTCTCTCTTCAAACAATCATTGATACACATGTTTAAGTGCTCATCTTTTCTCTGTGTGTGTCTGATTGTAGGCGTATTGTGCGAGGACAGACGGTGGCCAGCCTGGACACAAATAAACCTCAAAACTGCTCCGACATGTTTGAAGACTGGGGTAAAAATGGCTCCAACTGTGCTGTCCCAGAATTTGCTGGAAACCCACCTGGGGTTAGCTTTGAATTTCTAAACTTCTTACCAGCCCAAACACTCTCAGCAAGTTGCATCTCTTCTCAGGCTTTTAAGAAAAGTACTTCATCCAATATTTTCCCCTTCTCCAGACATGGAAGTGGGTGTTGGGTCCCATGATCCTGTATGTGTGTGAGAGGATCGTCCGCATCTACCGATCCCATCAAAAAGTGGTCATTACTAAGGTCGGTCCTGCCTCAGTTACACTGGTATACATTTTTTAGGAGCTGCACCAAGTTTGTTTCAACTAAATATCGGTAGAAAAATGATTTAAAAATTCATCTCTTTCAAAAAAGGTTGACTTTTAGCTGCATTATTACACTAATACTACAACTGCAGATTACACTTAACACAGCAGGTAACAACACAAAGAATTTTAGAGTTCCATGCCATGGAAATTATTACTACTTGAAACTGTACTTACTTTCAATAGCTACTATGTGGTCAAAAAGGCTGAATAAATAACTGTAATTATAATTCTATTGTCCCTGTACCTGGTCTTCAGGTGGTTATGCACCCTTCCAAGACACTGGAACTGCAGATGAAGAGGAAAGGCTTCAGTATGGAGGTGGGACAGTACGTCTTCATTCAGTGTCCATCTGTCTCCAGGCTAGAGTGGCACCCCTTCACTCTGACCTCAGCCCCTGAGGAGGACTACTTCAGTGCTCACATCCGTATTGTCGGGGACTGGACTCAGGCGCTGTACGAGGCCTGTGGAGGGGATAAAAACGAGCCTCAGGAGGCCTGGAAACTGCCCAAGTAGGAAAGATTGACAACAGAGGAAAATTGTGCTTTAAATTGCTTGTGATTACATTTGATGATGCCTATCCAGCGCGCCTTTGAAAAGTTGTCAGGAGGGGTTGCATTTACAGCCCTGAGAGGTTTATTGTGTATGTCTGTTTCTCTTCCCTCACATAAGAAATGAGTAGAGAGGCACAAACAGTAAAAATCATACAATATTAAGAATACCATCTTTTCACAGTGGTCCTGCTGTACAAATTTGAGCACTAATACTTTTCTATAAACCAGACAATGAAAGAAGGAGGCCTTTATTTTGAGCTGCTGCCTCGAATCACCTTAAGGCCAGTGTACTGTTTGCTTGGATAGACCTTGATTGGACTTGCTAGACAACAGCACAGTGACCAAGTCTTCAATTATCCCTTAATAATCCTGAAATTATGTCATTATTTAAGTTGCTTAAAGGCAAAACAAACAAATAGCTGTTCTAGATAACAACAAAAAGAAGCTAATATTTAAAAAATATATACACATTATATAACTGGCCTTAGATATTTTTCTAGAATTTGAGTCGAAGCCAAAGCAAATGCAAAAAAATGGTAGTTAGCTTGAGACTGAAGTCATGTATGCAGCCTTCATTCAAAATGACAATGCACCATGCTTCCTTGCATGTCTGCTGGAGGTTGTGCAGCCTTCAGCCACTTTTGGAGGCACAGCATGGCAACATCGCAAATATTTCTCCGTCCAAAAGGAGTATGTATATGTAATATACATAATATGTAATATGTCTTTTTTTCAGCAGTTTAACGTCCACAGTTTTCAAGATATCTTTTTCAAGCATTTGACCTTACCTTTATTGTTAGCACCAAAGGTCAAAGCTGACCTTGAAAAAAATCTTTCAAAAAAACATATTGATTAATATGTCATATGAAAGGGCAGAGCTGCACAATACATTTTGAATTTTTTGGATACAACTTCCTAAAAAGACACCATAACAATCTGACATTATCACGTTGTAATAAAAATGTGATAAAACAAGTTTTAGTACAGCCCTTGAACATCAAGAGGAGGCTCTCATGCTCATGCTCTGTATAGTTCCTTGTGTAAATCTCAGTATAATGTTGGTTACTCAAGCCATTTCCAGTTGCACAAACTTGTAACTTAAGCTTAATTAATTTGCCATAACACAGACAAATAAGAGAATAAACAAAGAAAAACTCACTATACACTACAGTCACTAAAGTAAAATCATTATTGTAATTAAAATGTTCAATTTTTAGATCTTGTGATGTACATCATGAATTATTGGGCCATCACAATTATCTTGTTAAAAATAACTAACTAAATAAATAAATAATGGAATCTCTTATAATCTTAACAGGGTCAAAACATTTAACAAAAAAAAAACATCAGAGAAGAAGATCATGTGTTTATATATTCAACATAATAAAGATGTTCTGGAAATTAGCATTAACCTAATAAATCTAATAAAGTACTAGGAACTTCCAATACGTGAGTGCTTAATTTTACACACAAACATAAATGTGAACAATGACAGTGACTAAACATACAGTGGCATTACCAAGCAAGTAGCATTATTTCTCTGAGGGACAAGAAATTTCTTAATTGCTCACATTTTAGCAACAGTTGCACATTGGAAATGTCAGATTTAGTTAGTGGTGGGTTAAGCCACAGAGCCCATGGGTCTTTAGTTAGGGTGTGGGGCTAAAAGTCCCAATACATCCACATGTTAAGCAAGTTAGCAAGTTAATCTTTGAGATAAATACACATAATCAAAGTTTTATTGGGTAAATAAAGCTTGACTTGAAAGCACAGAGCAGAGTAAAAACAGGATATAAGATTATTTTGTGTATATTTTGTTGTCAGGGTGGCCATAGATGGCCCGTTTGGTACCGCCAGTGAAGACGTGTTTGGTTATGAGGTGGTCATGCTGGTGGGTGCAGGAATCGGAGTGACTCCCTTTGCCTCCATCCTCAAATCTGTGTGGTACAAACGCATCCAGAACAACCAAGATGTCTTTACCAAGAAGGTGAGCGAGAACTTTAAACAAAAAAAATGTGTTTAAAAAAAAACTAACCATATCACATAAGCCCCACATGAAGGGTTCATAATAAAACAAAAATAAAAATTATTATCTACAACGTCTGTCTGGAAGAAATGCTAGATGCTACATATCCATTTTGCTGTGAAACTATTTAATGAAGGCTTTGAGTTAAAAAGTGTGAAATAAGGGTGTTTGAAATGAACCAAAAAATAAATGATAAATGTAAGTAAGTCTGAATGTCAGGTTAATAAACTGTTTGCCAGATCTACTTCTACTGGCTCTGTCCGGAGACCCAAGCCTTCGAGTGGTTTGCAGACCTGTTGCAGTCCCTGGAAGGCCAGATGACAGAGAAGAACATGATGGGCTTCCTCAGCTACAACATCTACCTCACCCGCTGGAAGGAGCAGGAGGTATGAAGGCTGAACTGACAACAAATACCATTTTTTGTGATTGAAGAAAACGTCTTATGTTATGGTTTAATGCATGTGGTTCTTAAATTAAGCAAAAAGTCATAAATAGAAAAAAAGTGACATCCATCTGTCATTTCCTTTAACAGGCGGCTCATTTCCGTGTTCACCATGAGGCAGAAAACGATCCGATCACCGGACTGAAGCAGAAGACCTTTTACGGGAAACCTAACTGGGACAATGAGTTTACCAATATTACTTCGCAGCACCCTCGGTGAGCCTCTTTAACGTTATTATCTCTCCATAAGCAAACACAGTCCATGATCTCATCTACTCAAGAACTGCTGTTACCTCTTCACTGCATAATGACTGAAAATGTAGTTACTGAAAAACGTATCTCATCTTATTAAACTCATCTCTGGTAAACTGGGAGAAGTGGTCAGCACATCATACCACTCTCAGTTATAAAAGAATGAAATGGGTCAGCATATTTTCTTCCACTTTGCCTAATTTTAGGCAGCTTTAAAACTGAGTAGATTTACTCAAGTATTTTATTTAGTACAGATTTTTGTAATTTTATTTGAGAATATTAATATCCTGCTGTGTCGTACATTAGGTCCATTACAGCTCAGAGTGAAATATCATATACAGTTACGTAAAAAGTCAAGGTTTTCTGATGCAGTAAATAACAAATATATAACTGCTTGCATATTGCTAAATACCCAAAGACATAAACAGGAGAGTCTTCATTTTGTAGAGCACCCTTTAATACTGATAAGACATTAATTGGTTAGTCAATGAACTTTACAATTCCTGCATACCTGTATGATACAGTTCGGTACATCAAAGGAAAAAGTTTCTCAAAACAATAAAATATCAGTCCGGCACACTGTATACGTTACCAATCATGTATTAAGGTAAAACGTTTTAGTCAGACTGACCTTCAGCATGTACAAGTTATATTTTGTCATAATATAAACTTTATAAATTGTGTTTCTCCTTGTAATTGTATAAACTATTTTATCAGCAGTATCTCCCAAGTTGGTGCCATTTTTCGTTACTTTAAAGGTCATTTCATACTGTTTTTTATAGTTTTACCAATAACAAATTAGGTAAATAAGAAAACACAATGGATTTTTATCTTTCTTTATTTTATCTTTAGCTGCAGGCCTGTACAAACTTACTAATAATAATGGATTGCATTTATATAGCGCTTTTCGGGACCCCTCAAAGCGCTTTACAATACCACTATTCATTCACTCTCACATTCATACACTGGTGAAGGTACTTCCACATTCTGCGCCAAACATTTTTTTTTTCATCCATTTCCTGTTTCTTGAAATTTTAATGCTTGTATGTGTAGTACCTCTATTTAAATGGGGTCCCTGGGATCTTTTTTATAACACTGGATTTAACTGCCTTTAGGATATAGTAAGTATTTAAAGCACAGACTTACAAATACACAAATTCAGTTATTCTGTGGGAACTTTTGAATTGTTTGCAAAACAGCAAAATGCAGGTGAAGTTTTTCTGCTAATTCATTGCCTTTTGATTCTTTCTGAAGCTATTTAAGCATGACCACTGAGTGGAATACAGCCATGACTGTTGCTCTGATGAATGCTATAAATACCAATATCTATAATCAAAGTGTTGGGGTCTTTTGTGCCTGCAGATCTAAAGTTGGTGTGTTCCTGTGCGGTCCGCCTCAGCTGGCAAAATCTCTGGAGAAACAGTGTATGTCTCATTCAGCTGCTGATGTCAAGTTCATCTTCAATAAAGAAAATTTCTAGGAAAACAAAGAAAATCAGAAACAGCAGCTGGATCATGATATACAAAGGGAACTTTCCAAGTAGCTGTTTGATTATAAGTTATCAAGTTTCCTCTGAAAAAAGAACAAATTTACATTTGGAACAAGTGGCAGCTCATCGGTGACGGGAACAAGCTTCTCATCACGTCTTCACCGCAGACTTCTGCAAAGATACAGTTGTTACTCAAAATAAACCCTGTGGCGTTGTCTACATTACTGTCTTCTCCTTTTTTGTTCCATCAACAAGTGAAACCGCCACTTTCAGAATGTTTTTTCTCGTCTTTTTTTTTTTTTTTGTTTCCACCTCATTGATTTTCTTTTGTGCCAGAAGTGGATTCATCTTCTTAAAAGGGGGTTTCAATTCCCTAACTGTATGAGGGAAGAGGTGGGGGCCTTTAAAGCTTTGGCTGCTGCAAACGTTCTCCATGGACTGAACAAGCTCCGGGATGCTTTATGCTTTTGTGCTGCCGTGTTTTTTCTGTGAGAGCAGAAATGTGGCAAAGACTTTTATGGCTAGAAATGTTTTGTTTAGCTTGTTTTGATGAAAAAAAAATGGACCAACCAGAAGCAATCTTCTGCTGTGTGATTATCTCCTGATTTCTCTGAAAAAGTTGTATAGCTGTTTGATCCAATCCAAGAACAGGAAGGAGCAGAAGGCTACCTGCTTGAGTGCTTTCTGGAGAAGGGTCTGTCTGTTTCAGAGGTCTGGGTGGTGTTGCTCTAACGTGATAAGAAAAGGAGAGCTGTGGCATAAATCTGGGTTATATGCATGGTTGGATCCACTAATAGAGGCCCTGTCACCTAAAGTTCATTTTACCATGTGAGACTGCTTGTTCTCAAATAATCAACCACAAAGGTAAACACATTTAAAATTGCTCTCAATCTTTTAATGAAAAAACTCAAACTCAATCTCTTGAGTCAAAAAGATCCTCAAAGGAGACGAGAAAGTAGTTCCACCTTTTTATTTTCATATTTAGCTGATTACAGTGTTCAAAACTCTTAAACAAAAGGTATATTTTCATGATAGTTATTATACAGTTTGGTTATTGCTGTTCTTTTTGTCATTCTTTTCAGACACCAGATGTCTATATTGTTGTCATACTGTAAGTCAGGGGCATCAAAGGTAAGCCTGGTCAGCTTTAGTGGATAGATGTTGAACTTTAACAGCATTTTGATAAGTTCTGTAGTTTTTCCTACTGATAATGACTCCCACCACTCATTGCCATCCATACTATGCCAAAGTACAAAGACATTTTCTTTGAATGAATTTTCTACACGTTTATCACGTTTTTACTGGTTCAGCCCACTTCACATCAAAGTGGGATGTGTGTGGCCCATGCAGTAAAATGACTATAACATCCCTGCTGTAATTATTTTGGATTCACTGCTTTTTTCTTTTTTAAATAGTAAATGAAAAAACTTTTGGAATCTGCTGAAAATATGTCTTAACTCATAATGTCTAATAAAAACTAAACTAAATTTAAACTTCCTGACTTTTCACTGCACACAGCTTCAATCTGTTCAAACTTCGCTGAAGGACACTTGTGAATACGCTCTTTTGTTGCTTTTTTAACAGAGAATGAATTGTTCATTCTTTTCATGTTGTAGGAAAAAAAACACACCTTTGATTCTGTTTCTGCAGGAGAATGCAGCGCTTTGACTGCGTGGTCTTCCTTTCCAAATGGCTCTCAGAAATCTCAGGGTTTCATCATTGTGTGAAAGATTTTAATCAACAACGTGTTGGTATTTAAATAATGAATACATTTTCTCCAGAGCCTCTAAAGCTAAACGTACAGCATGAACTGTTTAATGAAGTAAAGACATTTTAAAATGTTACATAGACAAAAAACTCAATTTAAAGAAAACTTCTGTGAGGTCTTGGTTACTAGTTGTCAAGCTTCAAGACTTTAAAGGTTTCTCATTTTTACAGTTTCAGTTTATTAAACCAACAGATAAAGTCAAATTAAGTTGCACTAATTTGTACAATTTAATAATGGAAAACGTAAACATCTGTATTGCTGCTAACTTTTTGCAGTATGATCTCAGTTTAATTATTGGGTTAACAGTAGTTTAGTGCTTCTGTAACAGGTTTGGTAACCAGCACGTCTGAGGACAGGGAGGAAGGAGCCATGCAAAAAAAGGTCATTCATTTGTTTCCCGCTTTGCTTCTGCAATCTAAGAAAGATATTTTCCACTTTTATAACTGTGGTTATACTTCTCTGTGAGTGTACTATGCATCTACGGTTTTGATTCTGCATAGCGTGCATGAGTGCAAGTGCTCTAAAAAAGAAAAAGAAAACACATATTATTAATGTAATAGCAAAGCAAAATGCCCTCCGGTCAATGTTGGTAACCGATCTAGTTAATATGGCCACACTGTCCACAATGCCCAGCACCCTCATAGAGTCTCATTCTGACAGTCTGGTTAGAAACATGCACACGAGGCACACACACTGCTGGGTTCATGCTCTTCTACAGCCCTGTTCAGCTCTCGTTGCGTAACAGCTCATTTCCTGGTATCTTCTCCACACATGAGGGTTTGCTGGAACATGGGCATCCTTCCTGTGATGTTGAGCATGGCTGTGCCATCCTGTTGGAGCTGGACTATCTGTGCAACCCATTCAGGTCACACAGGTACTATCTCAAGCTACAAGCAGAAAAAAGCAAACTAAAGAAAAATAGTTAGGAGGGATATAGAGAGAGCCACCAACTTCAAAGCCGTTCCTTTTTCTTTTTTCTTTTTTTTGATTGTCTGATTGTTGTCAACGCTTTCCCTTTGATTTGCACCAAAGTTGTTGAAATAGACTCAAAATCCATGAAGTTTAACTGACTTTCAGTTAAACTGTGATAATTTGCACAAAACTTAAATCCAAAATATGTCACAACTGAACAAAGTAGCACAAGAAAGTACAAACACATTAAAACTGTGCTTCAGTAAACAGACTTGGTTATTTTAAGATCAGCAGGACTCTAGTCTAATGTCACCAGGCTGGCAGGATGAGTTTATGTGCGAAAACAACAACACATGTAGAATTTATAATTATAAAGCTCCTGGTGGAAATTTACCAGCAGTAAACAGGAGCTTTAAGCCACAGCTTTAGACCCCCTCTCTGATTTATGTAGAACAAAGTGCTGATGGATGCTTAAAGTAGGTCTTTATTGGTATTTTAACTACTTTGCTCCACAGGTAGATCGATCAGTGGAAATGGCGTCACAGCAGCACGCTGATCCCTGCTTTAGCAAAGCTGTCCTAGTTTAACGGTGACATCTGACGTTTGTCTGCGACACTGGTGCAAGGCAGACATGAATAATCTTTTATTCCAGTGAAAAACAGGTCAAACCCAGTTCTCCAGTCGGTGCTGAGAGCTGCTGTGTTTCGGCACAAATTCGAGGCGCTTGTAAACTCCCTGTCATTGCACTACAGAGGGAAATATTTTACTTTTCTAAGTTTGTTAAACTAAAAAAAAAAACAGTCCTGCAATCAACTCATAAAAGAAACAACTATAAAATGTTATTCCTTTAGGTTTAAAATTAAATATTAAATAGGGTAAATACTTCTTTATTTTACTTCAGAAAAAAAATGTATAAGACATATATTTGTCAGTTAGGTTTACTTTATTTAAATGAAAGAAGATTCTTAAAACACTGTTTCTAAACCATCTCATAACTGTTCTGTTTAACTAAAAGAAGCCTAAAATGATAAATGCTACAAATAAACACATTATATAAACAAATCTTTATTCAAAGAAAAGAAAAAAACAAAAAGTAGCTAAAATCATATAAAAATGTAAAATAAAGCAGGATAAAATCAATGGGATCATAAATAAGCAGAAAAAATAAAACAGAATTACACTTTTATTAGTGTAAAGAAAGACGAGGGGAAGCTGCTGCTCGTTCTTAAATGTCTTCGTGTTTATTATCCTGCAGCTCGAGTACAAAAAGTGTCTTTTCTCTCTCACCTACATGATTCACAAACAGACAAAACACTGAAGGACCTGACTGAATGTGTCGTTGTACAGCAAGCTGTCAGGCGTCTGGGATAAATGCAACTGAACATGAAGCTATGAAAGCATGGCGGTGGCGCGAGGGGAGTAAATACATTACGATGAAGGCGTTTCATGCACCTGAAGGCTGGAAACTGAAGCCATACAGCTGTTTGAGCCACTGCAGCTGCTGCTCAGAGCTCACCGGTCTAAGGGCGCTGACAGAAGGCACAGACAGCTGTACGGGTGAAGGCTCTGTGGCACTTGGTGTCCCCCTGCTGGTCACAAGAGCACACTGCACTCCTCGTGGATTCATTAATGTGTGTGCGTTTGTTTATGCGGTGGCCACGGCAAACACGCTGACCACACAGTACATGGTGCGGTTTTCCCACCTCACCGTGCAGCTCCCTACAGACACGAAAAACCAATGAAAAAACGTCTACAGCCGCACATCGAGGAGGGGAACAACACCCCAAAATCAACACATACCGTCCATGGCAGTGTCCCAGTAGCAGGAGTTGGCTGTGTGGAGGCCGGCACCCGTTTTCTGCATCACAGCACACGTCACTGTGCACAAACAAAGTCACAAGAATTAGTTTTAAAGCGTCTCTTTATGTTTCTCTCAGCATTTAGTGTCTGGTTTCATTATTTTACCCCACGAGGACAAAAGATTTTTAAAAACATCTCTGGATCAGCTGATTTTTTTCCTCTACAGTAACTGTTTTATGTAAAAAAAAAAACAAAAAAAAAACAAAACTGTTTCCATGTGGTACAGGGCCCCCTGGTGGGCTGGTATTGCAGAAATTTGTGAAATTACTCACAGTACAGTACAGTTAGATATTTATATAAACATATTAGTTTATATATATATATATATATATATGTATTGCAATGTAGTTTTTATCTGAGTGGCAGCTGGATCACACATTGGCCTCAACACTTTAACAGTTTAAAGCCAACAGTCTGAGATTTTTATGTTTTTTGAGTTAAATCTTCAAGTGAATCGATCCCCCTCCTCTATTTTTAGAAGAGATTAGAGGTTGATGAGAGTGAAGATTTAAGATTGGCTGGGCCCCCTGGGACTTTGTTTTTAAGTGACAATTCATAGGAGGGCAAACATAAGAGCGTGAAAAGGTTAACTCTAAATGTAACAAATACACACCGATGTACTTGTACGGCTTCCCCTGTTTGACGAGCTGCGTGAGGCAGCGCTCCACGATGTTCGCCGTCCACTTGTTCACCTGACTCTGGCTGTAGTCTCCGCCGCCCACGACGTTCTCAATGCACTGACACAAACACAGAGAAACGGCATCACAGCGCTCAGAGTCATGTGTTAGTCAGCCGGTGTTGCTGGCGCCCGAGGAGACTGAGACAAAGAGGCACTGAGTGCAGCTTGCTTCTGAAGGTTTTTCAGAGGTTTTAAGGATATTTTTTTATTATCTTGAATTTTCCCAGGAGCACAGCAAACTACGCAAGCTTAGCAATGAAACACAAATCAAAAAGCTTTAAATTATGTGCAAAAATGAATGACGCGTAAAAGTTACATTTAAAAATAAGAGTGTATTTGAGCTATTTACATGGCTAGATTTAATTATTATTTATATCAAACGAAATCGTTTACTTCACAATCGAAGCATCTCTCTATAAAAACCTGCTGTTGAAACTTATATTTTTATGACTTAATACTTGGGAAAAATGTTAAATGTGCTTTTGTTTTACTCCCCAAAGAACAAAATCAGTGTTTGTTTAATAAAGACCTAAAAAACATGACGACACTGTGGCGCAAAATGTGTTAAGACATTAAAGGGATTTATAACGCTGCATATAAAAGTAAACCTTACTTCTTTGACTATGGTGTCAGCTTCTTCTGCATTGAATGAGCCCTAAAATAGAGAAAGCAGATCCTCATGTCATAATAAAGATAACATGACAGGACTTTAGTTAAATAAACATACGTTTATGGAAAAATGCTAAAGTGACCCATAGGATCACTTTAGCAACACTTTTTAGCAACAGATATAACGTTATTGGAGCACGTAAACGTTTATTTTTAACAGCACATTAAGCAGTTAAAGCAACAGCAGCTTATTTTGAATATTATAAATTATATTTATTGATTTTAGGACGTTTGCATTAAAAAAAATCGCCGCTATCACTGGGAGTGGCTAGCTAGCTCATTTCTGCTGTCACTGGTGAAAACGGTGAATTCGGATCAGGACTAACCTCGCTTCCGTTATGAAATTCCTCCATTCCTCCTGTCATCTGACACCGGCTAGGGCTGCTTTTTTTTTCTTACTGACAGAAGAAAAAACAAAGCCAGAAAAACCTTTTGTTCACAGATAAAGCGACAGGAGCTCTTAGGGACTTCCGGAGGAGCTGTCAGCGGAGTCAACGACGCACGAAAAGAGCGATCCGAACCCGGAGGGAGTAACGGCGCTTAGCTGACCGCTGACCCCTAATGGAGGCTCAGTGAAATACAGCCTTGAGACAGAAATACAGACT